TTATGTAGCCTACTTCACTCGCGTTCCAATATCCACGTAAAACAAAATGTTTTGCATAACATCACGGCATTGCGGTGAGAACACTTAACGGCACATATTTTTTACTACATAGCTTTTTTTCCATATGTTTGACTGACTGTATTTTATTATGATAATGAACAGGCTGCATTGTCAAGGTAGCAATGCTTAACTGTGCGCGCATGCGGCGCAATCACTTGAGTTTTTTCCTTCTAACAGTGGAAGAAACTACTCCTTTTAGTCATAAAGATAATCGGAATTGTAAAAGGTTTGCCTTTATTTGTGTACATTCACAATAAAAACAAATCTTTGTGCTTTTGTAAAATAAAATAGCCTAAAGAAAAATTGGATCCCGCTTTCTGCCGTCTTGGTTTCCTTTCGCGCAGCACAAAAATGAACCGAAACTCTGCATACTACTTGTTGAACAATTTTTCTTTCATTTTCTTAATTTATTATTTCAGTAAAAATATATTTCTCGTATAGGCCTATTTATTATTATATTAATATATTTTTATATTATTAGGAAAAATAACCGAAATGAACATCCCTAAACACTTCAGTTTGGAGTTTTTGTAGCTTGATTTGTCAGTCTTTGCTGTCTCTCGGTGCATTAACTGCATTTTGCTCAAGCACTTGTGAATATGTAATATGTATGTCATGCATTGATAATTGTATTTTGCTCTCCTTATCTGTCCTTACTTTATAACACTGCACACAATCCAATCATTAATTCAGTAAACATGTGAACAGTATCTCGCACGTTACATAACTGGATGATTTTTGATGTATGTAGCCTACATGTGTTTGCTGTCAGAGGACGATGATCCGGATGATCAAGGTTTTTCTCTCTCCATCTGGTCGTCTTATAAAGTTTTTCTGCTTCGTGTAGCTCATTTGAGGCTTTAAAGGATGATTTTGTATGAACAGACGTGATTGTAATGTCGTATAACGGGAGGGATGTCGAATCATTCTGCGGCTTCTCTCTCTGCATGTGTGACGCTCTGTCTGTGCATCAGAGACACCAATGCATCAAATGTCTGTCCTTTTTTTTTTTTTTTTTGTTTTTTCTTTATCTGCAGGTTAGAAGAAAATACAATACAGTCCAAATCAACATCAAGGTCGTTAAGGTAACTTTTTTTCTTTAAATATTTTTTAATGCATCAAGGTAACTTTAAGTAAGATTTTCATGCATTATTTTATATTTATAATACTTTATTTTATTATATTTTGCATATTTTATCAAATTTGTATTTGTTATTTTATATTGTGTGTGTGTGTGTATATAACTGATATAGTAATTATTATATTTCATTATCATGCATGTTTATTTTATATTATAATATATGATTCTTACTTATTTTAACATAAAATTGTATATTTTTCAAATAAATTATTATTTTAAAATTTATCTTATATTTTATGTATAATGTATATTAATGTTATTTTATTTTTATGATTTTATCTATATTTCATTATTATTAATTTATTAAATGTGTTATTTGTTTGACATGTTTTATATATATATATATATATATATATATATATATAATTG